CAGCTCAGGTCATGATCCCAGGGTTCTGGGTGGAGCCCTGCTTCTGGCTCCCTGCTCAGCGGGGAGTCTGCTTCTCCCTCAGCCTCATGCACTCCCACTCCTGCTCCCATTGCCCTTCTCCCTCTCAATAAAATCTTTAAAAAATAAAAAAAAAAAAAACTATTGGGTATATGTAATGCTCTTTTTAAATACAGGTCCTCTGGACAAAGATATTTTTTTTCTTCCAAGACTTCAATCCTCCTAAATGGAAATGCAAACGTATTTTAAAACCCTCTTTTAGGGATCAATCTTCTCTATCACTTCTTACACCAACACCACCATCTTAAATTTAAATAATTCTGATTGCTAAGGAATTCCAATACATTTCATTCATATATTCCATATATACAAATTCTGAATGTGAACATATACTCCAACATTCAGCACTTGAGCACTTTGGGCAAGTCACCTGGTATTTCCAAGCCACAATTTCCTCATTTACAAAATGGAGATAACCTGACTTCATGACTTCACAGGGAAACAAGAACCAAATTAAAAAATGTGAGAACACTTTTCAGAAGAGTACTGATATACATAAAAATGACTGCTATGATTGTAAGATCTCCAAATTCCCACATTTCACTAAAAGAAAGAATTTTGCTCCAAAAGTTCAGATGTAGAACCTGAATAGCTTACAGTTGCTGAGTTGGTATTACACACTTCGACACCAAACAAGTATCCAGGGGCTTTTCTATCGAGAGAGCTCCTTCTTAGAGTAGGAAAAGAGTAGTGAGGGATCCCTGGGTGGCGCAGCGGTTTGGCGCCTGCCTTTGGCCCAGGGCGCGATCTGGAGACTCCGGATCGAATCCCACATCAGGCTCCCGGTGCATGGAGCCTGCTTCTCCCTCTGCCTGTGTCTCTGCCTCTCTCTCTCTCTCTCTCTCTCTCTCTCTCTCTCTCTCTCTCTGTGTGACTATCATAAAATAAATAAAAATTAAAAAAAAATTTAATAAAAAAAAAAAAAAAAAAAAAAAGAAAAGAGTAGTGAGATTCCTCAAAAAATGAAAAACAGAATTACCATAAGGTCCAGTAATTCCACTACTGGATATGAAAAGAAATAAAATGAAAACACTAATTTAAAAAGATACACGCACCCCTATGTTTACTGCAGCATTATCTACTACAGCCAAACTATGGAAGCAGCCCAAGTGTCCAGTGATAGATGAATGGATCAAGAAGATGTTGTGAATATATGTACAATGGAATATTCATCCATAAAAAATGAAATATTGCCATTTATGACAATATGGATGGATCTAAAGGGTATAATGTTAAGTGAAATAAGCCAAAGAAAGACAAATACCATTTCATTCAATTGAAGAAACAAAAAAATAAAGAAAAAAAGACAAATCATAAAATAGACTCTTAATTATAGAGAACAAACAGATGGTTACCAGAGGGGAAGTATGTAAGGGACACATAGGTGAAGGGAATTAAGAGTACACTTGTTTTTTTAAGGTTTTATTTATTTATTTAGAGAGAGTATTCACGCACGAGCAGGGGAGGGAATAGAGGGAGAAAAGAATCCTCAAGTAGACTCCACATTGAGCTTGAGGCAGGGCTCAATCTCATGACCCAGAGATCATGGACCTGAGCCGAAATCAAGAGTCAGATACTTAACAGACTGAGCCACCCAGGTGCCCCAAGAGTACACTTATCTTCATGAGCACTGAGGAATGTACAGAACTGTTGAATCACTAAACTGTACACCTGAATCTAATATAAATACTCTGTTAACTATACTGGAGTTAAAAAATAAAATTTCTTCTACGAAAGGAGAGTAAAATGTTAAAACTGAGGTATTTATATTTTAATATTTTCACCAGTGGAGCACACACTTTAACTATATCCCTCCTCTTAAGAGCAAGAATAGTACCTTAGCTGCCATTTTAGCTATAATAACTGGCACAGAGACCAGCTTTTCCATAATGAAAGTAAAATCTTCCTGTGAATATATATGAGGTGAAAAGAGGTCTGGCCCTGGAGTACAGACACTTGCTCCCACACACATATATAACCTTGCTGAAGACCCTTCAGAATCCTGAGCCTTCATTTCCCTTTAAAAGTCTACAACGTAAGTCTGTAATGTCCTTTTATCAGATGTCAGACACCTACCCAGAATTCCAAAATAAGGCCTCTGAGTGACAAAATGAAAAAAGGTTTTTCACAAAATCTGTGTATGCACTTTATCCATAACCGAGGCCTACGGATTTTTATTTCATGTGTATTTATAACAAACCGGGTTATTTGATTATGAAATATTTCCTATTGGGTAAAAGCAGTAAAATAGATCAGATGTTGAAAGAAAGAGAACCTGGAGAAACCCTAAAGTTCCTCTTCCTGATGGATGAAATGAAACCAAACCTTCCCAAAAAAGATCAGATTCAATCTAAAATCACACTGTGGCCTGATACCACTGAACACTTGACAAACATCACTCCTTATGGTCATCCTCATCTCTTAGATCAAAATTAGACTCAATTTATGATTAATTTAATGCAATCTTTAATTATAAAACAGAATGAATGCTCAGCAAATAGCATGGTCTAGTGCTACCCATCATTTCCCTATCAATAACCTGGGAAAAAATGATAAAGCTCTCTTTTATACTTCGCTTCTTCTTACAAGTAATGTCCTCACTAACTGCTCTTATTTTCTCCCTACATAGCATTAATGGAATCACAAAGGAAAGGCCATCTAATTTTAATCAACACAAAAGTTGGCTTTTGATGTACCTAAGAGGGATTTTATATATAGAAACAAAGTGGATTATTTTACACAATTAATTTTACCTCCAAGGATGCTAATATACTTTAAAGAAGTAAGTGTTATTATTTGCCAACTATTGGTCATCAGCTCCTTCAAGGAAGTGACCACGTCTGCCAATTCTGATCCTTAGAGCACTCAGAGAGAGTACCATAGCCATCAGAATACTTAACAAATATTTCCGAGATTGGCTTTAAAAGGACTTTTATATATCAATAATGGAAACCCAAATGCATGTAATTATTTTATAAAGTTAAATACACCAAGTATTTTAAGAATTCTGAGCAAATCTTATGTTCGCTAGAGGCAATACATGATGGAAAGTAATTTATATTACGTCATAAATTATGTAATGTTAAATGAAAATATATCAGGACAAAAATTATATACAGGGGAGCCTGGGTGGCTCAGTGGGTTAAGCACTGGACTCTGGATTTCAGCTCAGGTCATGATCACAGGGTTGTGAGATCAAGCCCCTCCACCCCAGGGCTCTACGCTGAGCATGGAGCTTGCTTAGAATTCTCTCTCTCCCGCTGCCCCTCCCACATGTACTCTCTCTCTCTCTCGTTCAAAAAAATTATATACAAAATATATGTAAAATGTAAATACAAATTATACAAATGCTTTTTATATTTTTAAAATGTTAATCATATTTTACATATATCTATATATTTTAAAATATCTTAAAATTTTGTGGTGGCCCAGGTGGCTCAGTGGTTTGGCCCTGCCTTCGGCCCAGGGCTTGATCCTGGAGACCTGGGATGGAGTCCCATGTCCGGCTCCCTGTATGGAGCCTACTTCTCCCTCTGCCTGTGTATCTGCCTCTCTCTCTCTCTCTCTCTCTCTCTCTCTCGCTGTGTCTCTCACGAATAAGTAAATAAAAAATCTTTTAAAAAATCTTTTTTTAATCTTACAAAATATAAAAACATACACTATGTATAAAACATAAAAATCATATATAAAATTATAAATTATATATTAAATTATATATAAAATATCAAGACATATATGAAATGCAACCACAATTCTTTTCAACATAAACACTGTAGAAAAGAACTGACAACTAAGTTACAGAATATTTGTGTTGGAAGGACATCCTGCCTAATTCTGACATTTGACAGGTATAGAAAAAATATATATATTTATGTTTGTGTGATTCTTTACAGTTTAAAAAGTGCTTCCAAAATGTCACCGGGGGCGCCAGGTTGCTCAGCGGTTGAGCGCCTGCCTTTGGCTCAGGGCGTGACCCCGGGGTCCCGGGTTCGAGTCCCCCGGGCCGGGCTCCCTGCATGGAGCCTGCTTCTCCCTCTGCCTGTGTCTCTGCCTCTCTCTGTGTCTCTCATGAATAAATAAATAAAATCTTACCGAAAGAAAGAAAGCCATGCATTTAAAACCAGGTGTCTTGGGGTTACAAGCAACCAACTGCAGAGAATCCTAGTTCCTACTTCCCGGTGCCAGGCCGTCCCGCCTACGGCTTCTCCTAAGAGTTATTTAGTGTGACAGCCCCCCCCCCCGCGAGGGTGGAGGGTGCAGGCCCAGGAGCACCCCAAAGCCAAAGCTGCCCCAAGAGCCTGCTAGGCAGGACTCCTACTAGGACTCGGGAGGGAGGCAGTGAACACGTGGGGCGGATGGGGACATCAGCTAACCCCTACACATCAAGGGGGAGGCAGGAGGAAGCCCCTCTGCAGCATCAAGCACCCCAACTTCTGCACCGCACGGCCGCGCACAGCGCCTTCCGGCTCCCCGCGAGCGGGCGGGCGGGCGGGCGGGGCCGCAGTCGGCAGAGAAGGCTGGAAGGACTGGAAGGACTGGAAGGACCGCCGCAGCGCGCCGGGCGGGCAGGCAAGGAGCAGGGCAGCGGGGTCCCGGCTGCACCCGACGAGCCCCCGGCCCCCGCCCCTCCGCGGCGGCCACGGAAGCCGAGAGGGACGCCGCGGTTCTGAGGCCACCGCCCGCCGAGACTCGGGCGCCCTGGACGTCGGCCCCGGGAGCCCCGCTACTCACGCTGGACCAGCCGGTCTCCGGAGAAGCTGGAGGAGCAGCTGGCAACGAGCGCACAGGGTACGCCCGCAGCCATCGCTGCGCTCGCGAGCCACTTCCGCCCCGGAGCCCCTTCCGCCTCGGGCTGCACCACCGCGGCCGGCGCGCGGGGGAGACGCGCCTGGGGGGGGCGCGTGCGCGGGAGGCGGCGGCGGCCCTGACTCCTCCCACACCCCCTCTTCCGCTGCCGGCGTGGGACGGGCCGCGCTGCGCGTGGGGTTGCCATGGGGACGAACGCGCGCCGCCGCCGCTGCCGCCAGGCCGCGCCGGGCTCGGGCGCCTGGAAACCGCTCCTCCTCCCGGAGGCCGCCCTCCGGTTACCATGGCGCAGGACGCTGACAGCTGCGACCCCATCGGAACCATCCTAATCCAGGTGGGCGACGGGCCCTGCCCCGCCCGGCCCAGCTCAGACCCCTCCGAGCGAGGCCCCGCAGAGCCCATCCTCCCGCGCCACCCCCCCCCCTGCAGCGTGCAGAGGGCACTGCCCCTCCAGAAATCCCAAAGATGCCCCCCCAAGACCTCTGGCCACCAGCCTAGCCCTCCCCTGGAGGCTGCGCTCCAGAAGCTCCGCCGCTCTGCCTCTGCTAAAATTCACCCAGAACTTCTACTTCCCAAAATCCATCTTACACCCAAGGCACCATTTTAAAATGTTATCTTCCGAAAAATTAGGACCCGTGATATGGGGGAAATGCAAGTCGACACTTAAGGGGAGATAATAAGAAATCTGGGGAGGAGTTGAAATATGTCAACCACGTAAGCACCTTAATTTTTTGGATCTGGAAGTACCAGGCCAAGAAGTCGGTCTTGGGGATGTAATAATGTGCAGCCTGGTATAGTTGGTTATGCGCTACTACTACACTTGAAAGCTGCTAAGAGAATACATCCTCAAAGTTCTCATCATAAGAAAAGAAAATGGTAACTATGTATGGTTGGGGATGTTAATTAAACTTACCGCGGTCATTTTGCAGTGTATACAAATCGAATAATTATGTTGTGTACCTGAAATACAATGTTGTATGTTGATTATATCTCACATAAATTAATGAATTAAATAAAAGTCCCTTGCTTGGGAGCACACACAGGAAAATACATTAACGATCACTTGAATTGCCTGTCCAGTTGCAGTTTTGAATATAGACGTGTGACCCAAAAAACTCAGGGAAATGACTTTTTCTAAACCGGGGGGGGGATATAAAAAAAGAAGTCTTAACTTCTCCAGTATAACTCAGTTTGTGACAGTTATACTCAGATGCTTCCCACACAAATGTTGTTCTTTCACATTTACATATGGTATCTTTAAAACATTTCTGCATACATCATCACTTTTAACGTCTATTTAGCTCCAGTTGTCTAAGGCTTGAAATAATTTGCCTAAATTCACTCTATTCCAACGCTCACTCAGATCTGCACAGTGGATTTTCCTGCCAGAATATTGGTCTCTTACCTCCCATCTAGGAGAGAATTCTTTTATATGCACCTTTTCTAAAATACAAACCCCTAAATTCACCAGTTTCATAGAGTTCCCCATTATGTGTAATACCCAAATCTTACCTCATCTTTTATTATCCTCTGTCACTAGCACCCTAGATGAATTTAGCAAACTTCAAATTCTGAGGGACCAGTCCCCACAAAACTGCCCTCATTTCTACCCAGCCTAGTCCAGGAGTCCCAGAACCAAACTCACTTCAAGCTAGCTATCTACAAAATTGGGAGCCCGACCACCTTCACACTGGCTAATTTGCTAGAGCAACACAGAATTCAGGAAAGTGCTGTGCTTACAATTAGAATGTTACCAACATCAAAAGGATACAAATTAAAGTCAGCCAAGGAGGGGATCCCTGGATGGTTCAGCGGTTTAGCACCGCCTTCAGCCCAGGGCGTGATCCTGGAATCCTGGAATCAAGTCCCATGTCCGGCTCCCTGCATGGAGCCTGCTTCTCCCTCTGCCTGTGTCTCTGTTTCTCTCTTTCTCTCTCTCTCTCTCTCTCTCTCTCTCTCTCTCTCTCTCTCTCTCTCTCTCTGTGTGTCTCATGAATAAATAAATAATCTTTAAAAAAAAGTGAGCCAAGGAAAGACATGTATGGGCAGCACCCAAGAGGAAGGATCCAAATGCAGCTTCCTGTCATCCTCTCCCCATGGAGTCATGGGTGGCTTTACCTGCCCCCAGCCATGATGTATAACGATGTACACAGAGTTGTGCCAACTAGCAAAGTTTGCCTAAGACTTGATGTCCAGAGCTTTTACTGGAACTCCATCACACACTGCCCATGTTCTGACCTTTCATCGCCAATCCTTCCCAGAGGTCACATTAATGACTTTAGTCTCTAGTTCCTCTAGAGGTTGGAACAGATACAGTGTGGCTCAAGGCCCCCATCATAAATCTCATTGTTAGAACTGTTTGGTGACCAAAGCCCCCAAGCAAAGACACTTATCAGGCAGGACACTCAAGGGGCCTACAGATCACCTCCCAATATCCAAGGGCAAAGCAAAGAACTCTTGCTAGGCACAGTTGATTCTTTACTACTTAGACCCCCCTCTAAATTCAGGGCCGATTTTTACAGGCTCCAAATAATTGGAACACTAATGGAGACTCCTACCCAGAAACAGCCAGTTTTCCCCCATAGTATACTTCACATTGACTACAAGAACAATTAAGTTACTCCTTAGTTTTCTTATTTGTCCAGACCTGGAACATCTCTTAAAGAGAGACCAGAATCTGGGGAGAATTCTCACACCTAATTTCACGCTTTCCCTTGAGATAATTCTCTTCCCGAAGGCTGCTCCCCTTGAGGTTTGGAATAGTGTAAAATAGCAGATAGACTGAAAAGCCAGAAGCCTTTTCACTTCAGAGTAAGATTCAGAGGTAGCTGTTTGATCAGCCTCAGATACATTACAGTATCAATGTCTGTAATCATTAAATCATAAAATGGAACAGAAGAGCTAAGAACAGGCATGTCCATGCTGATCAACACCCCCATATGCGGAAAAAGGATTATTCTGGACACACTAAGTGGAGAGCCTACATGTTAACCTGATTACTGAGGCTGATCTCTAGACACAGTATAACCTTCTCCCTGAAATATGTAGAATATATATAAATTTTTTAAAGATTTATTTATTTATTTATGATAGAGAGAGAGAGAGAGAGAGAGAGAGGCAGAGACACAGGAGGAGGGAGAAGCAGGTTCCATGCCGGGAGCCTGACGTGGGACTCGATCCCGGGACTCCAGGATCGTGCCCTAGGCCAAAGGCAGGTGCCAAACCGCTGAGCCACCCAGGGATCCCCTGTAGAATATATATAACAAAGAAATGAGGAAGGCTTTCTCTACACTCTAACCAACTCCAGAGTATTTATGAGTATACAGCACTACCCTCGGGACACGTAGCATGGATTCCATTTCTGTCGGGGTTTGATTTATGTCCTTCAAACAGGCTACCAAAAAGCAGTACACCTACTGGAAAGCACTATTTGGGGAGTCAGAATACTGAGGTCTGAGTTTGGCAATGACATTCTCCCAGATGAATAACTTTAGGCTAATCTCTGGGCCTAAGTTTTCTCCTCTGTAGCTTGAATTAGATCCACCTCTGACTCTAAATTGACCCAATTTCCCCAAAGCTACATGATTTCTTTTTATCATAAAGTTGTCTTCCTTTTGTCAGCATGGGCAAATGTTTCTATCAGTTTATATATAAGTATGATATATATGAATTGGAATTATATAATATATTGTTATAAATCTACATGTATTATATATAACACATATATGTATACATACAAAGTTGCCAGAAAAGTAGAGGTACTTCAAATATCTACTTTCTTCACCCTAAGTGGGTATATCAGGTCTATGTTTCAATCAGATACATTAAACAACTCCTTAGACCAGTGATTCTCAAAGAGTGACCTCAGGACCAGTATTTTCAGCACCAACTGAGAACTTGTGAGAAATGCAAATTCTCAGACCTCATTCCAGACGTACTAAATCAGAAGTTCTGGGGGTAGCGCCCAGCTATCTGTTCTTATAATCCTTGCAGATAGCTCTGATATGTGCTCAATTCTGAGACCTTCTACCTTAAATAGTATTATAAAATAGAAACTGTAATATGATTTCAAAGAAAAATCTCAATAATCAAAGCTAATATAGTATTTACCGGATATTGTGCACAGTTCTAAGTGCTGTACATATTTTAACTCATTTAACCCCCTACAACAAAGCTATCTGATAAGGGCTATTATTTCACACTATGGAAAAGAAACTGACCAAAGAGGAGTATATGGGTTGGCCCATATACATAGAAAACACAATCTTCTTAAACCCTTTCAGTCTGCTAACCTGGTAAAAAAAGAAGTCTACCCCTGCCCCTTTTTGCTTCTCTAGATATTTCAGTCCTGCCTTTTCCACTGAATTTTCAGCAACCATTAGCTTTGTATATCTATAAATACGTATTTGTATATTTGTAGATATTATGCACATACTGGCTAATGGTTAGGCATGAAGGTTCTTGATTCAGACTGCCTGGATTTGAATAGTTCCGCCAATTAACCAGCTATCTTGCCTAGCACAGGGTGCTTAACTACTTTAAAACTCAAATTCCCTCAAGTATGAAATAAAGATGACACTATAAGCTCCCTCTTAGGAGTTTTGTAAGGATTAAATTAAGGGGTAACATATAATGTGAAACGTTCAATTGATACGAGTTATTATTAGATCTGATCTCTTACTAATGTGTAGTTTTCTGTTCATTTCTGTGTGTTTTTTTTTTAAGATTAGCCTGTTTTTTACTGAAAGAAAAGGAAAAAAATAATTTTAGCCTGTCTTTTTAACCAGGACTACTCCATTCTTAACTAAAACTTTGTGGGTGATGCTATAGGGCAAATAACGTATGCCTTGTTTCCCTGTGACAGTGGATTTTTTGGATATCCCATTTTACCTAGCACAGGATTGGGGCCATTCATCTTGGACAACTTGATAATGATCTTCTTATTAATTCAGTCTCTAAAATATACATCCTATTCAAAAATGAAGGGAGCTGAACTAACAAGTACTATTATTTAGAAAACACAATTGCTGATACAAATTAATAATATTTTGATAAAATATCTAAAATACCCGAGAAATCTTTAAATACAAATAATCAGTGTTCTAATTATAAACTTTTAGTGTGATTTATTTGAAAACCTGTGTACATTTGTATGTCTGAATTTCACAGAACAGTTCTGATTGTGAATATTCTGTTCCACCGTCCAATCATGTACCAAAGCCCATGTCCTCATTTTTGATTCAGAACATATGACTACTATCTCCACACAGAATTCTACTAGGCGAACTTTTGTTAAATACTTCTTTCACTCTTAAGTCTATCATTCAGACCTTTTATGGTTTCAGCTGGATCTTTCCTCATCTGATCAGAACAGTGATGTTATAACTATAGTGATGATAATCATTGTTATAATTAAAAAGTAGCCAATTTTTTTGACCATGTGCAGCAACTCAGGTAGGTATCATATGTAGCCCCAGTTAGAAGAAGAAACTAAGGTACAAACAGCTAAAGTAATTTGCCCAAGGGAAGAGATCCTGTCTGTGTTGATCCTGAAACAGGTTATGGTGTATTTGTGAAACAGTCTGGAAGAAGTGGGTCATGAGTCCGAGAGGTTTCCTTGGTGCTTTCTTTTATAAATAACTCTTACAAGCTTTGTTTTTCCACTTTATTAATGAGTATGTGGTATCTTCTTAATACATCTTTGAAAACGCTTGCTTGACCAAACTCTGAAACCAATGTTTGTGCCACAAGGATACTGTAATCTTGCAGTCAAAATTAGCTTTGTAATTCATTTTGGAAATCATTATTTCAAAAATCCAACCATTTTATGCTAACACCAACCTTGGAAATATTGGAACTAATTGACAGCTTGATATCATCGCTTTCTTATCAACTCCTCCATCTGGTTTGCCAGGAGCATACAATGTAAAATGAAGGGGCAAGTGGGTAAGTGTGATGAGAATGAGGCAGCCAAACGCTATCTTTAGCAGAGATGAATAAAATGCAATTGATGTAACTGCTTTTGACAACACAGAATCCAGTTGCATAGCTAGACTTCTAAATTCTAGAGATTAATTAATTAATTAATTAATTCTAGAGCAAACCTTCACTGCATTAAACCTTTCAGGGGCTTCTTATTAAGCAGCCCTGTTCCCAAACTGTCAAAACAATAATCTTCCTCCAAGTAGGAAATATATGGAAAGCAATGCATCTGGTGATCATAGAGATGATGGGGGACATGTAAAATTTCAATATGGTAAATTGGATCTATTTGAAGAAAGGACAGAGATATAGAACTTAATCTTTTTTCCTACCCAAGTCTGGTGACACATTTCCTACAGTACTTGTCTCTATTGCAATTACTATACAAACAGATATGTGGTTATTGAGAGGGGAGAAGAAAATATCTGGCAAGAATATAAGAAGCTCTTGAGGAAGATTAAGAGAGCAATTCAAATCAATGAACATTTACTAAGTGCCAGTTTTGTGCAAGAAGTTTCACTGGGCTTTACAATTCAGGAGAGGAGAATTAACATTTGTTCAGTGCCCTCCTATGGGGCTAGCTGGCCTTGTACAAAACACTTTCCCTACTTGAAATTTTTTTCTTGCCACTATTCCAACAGGTAGCTTTTTACCCCCATTTGACGGAAGCACCAAAAAACGAACTTGTCAAGCTCGGTAAAGGAAGAAATAGGATTCTAGTTCATATCTGCCTGGTTCCAAAGCCTACGTTCATCCCTTTTCTCACACATTGCCTTATTTTTACTCAACAACTCTATAAAATAGAATAATTCTTTTTTTTTTCTTGTTAAAGAAAACAGAGGAAACTTGATGGTGTGCATGGACAACTTGTGACCAGTGATAGAGCAAGGAATGATGTCCATTTGCCTTTTACTGGTCCCTTACTATCTACTAAACCTGTGGCATATTATCTCATGACTCTGGGAAGAAGTGTAGTTGTCCACAGCTGACAGATAAAGAAAACAACCCGTTATTTCCATGATAAATAACCCAGAACAATTTCACTCCCCCCAGCTATGGGGACCAGCATTAGTTACAGAATGGCACATGAAGTTACAAATACTACAAATACTAGAGCTTCAAGGAGGAAATTTAGTACATTCAAAGGAAGAACCCAGAAATGTGCACCTAGAAGTGGGGCTTGCCCTTGAACTGTCTCTTTGTACTTTCCAAATGCCTTTAGACAATAGATGGTAAATCAGCTTGCAGGAGTAATTTGGACAAAACAATTGAAAGAAGTACATCTTCATCCTTGGTGCCTACAAGCAAACAGTAGGTGTGTTCTGATTTCAATCTGTGAGCCCTGAAGGCTTTCCATGACAATTTGTGCAGAGTACAAATGACCAGATGTGTCTACCAGACTGTGATGCCCATCAGTGCAAAGATGCAAATTCAGATCTTTTGAATACTTGGCTCCATGGGAATATTCCAAAGTAATCGATAACACAGGCTGGACCAATGTATATGTCCAGTTATACTAACAGAGAAAAGGTAACTGTTTCAAAATGCCTGTAGCAACCCAGTCTGCAGATTGTTATTGGTGTGACTATTGCTGAAACAGGTGTTGGGTTCATAAATTTGCATAACAAAATGTTTTTCTTGTGGCAGCAGCCCATACAATAATTGGTGCCATCTGTATTTATCTATTGAAATTTGGTTTCTGAAATGAATGCAGAGAATCTTGTGGTGTCTAATCTCATAGCACCCATTTAGTTGTGAGGGTGGTTGACGTTGGAGAGGCATTCATCATTTCTAAGGAGAATACAGATTGAAAGAAAATGTCAAAGTGATCACATTGCTTTTTCTTCACCGATCATTTTCATTTCTGACTATGTAAAACAGAATCAAGGCCACACACCTACAGAGCTGCTTCTTCAGAGCAGTCCATGGGGAAGATCCAGCCAGAACTTTTCTGTTTTCTTACCTCTTAACCAGTTAGTAGAAATCTGAGTTAGGCTCAAACTTCCTATCAGCTCAGACTTTTTATCAGCTAAGAAACAGACGTGATTTGAGTTGTAGTTTTATCTTGGATTTGTTTCTCATGGAGTGGGGGTAGGGGGGCTTAAGGAAAAATAGAAAATTGTATGAAAACTTAGTTTTTTAAAATCTGAAAGACGATAATGAAACTTTCCAATAAAGAATATCTGAGAACCGTGAAGACCGTCTTCAATGAACATCATAAAATCTACCTGATGATCTCTAGCAATTCAAGCAAACTGCAGATCTTTAAAATAAATAACTTTTGGGTGAACTCGGTATGTATTCTCTCAATATTTTATATTTTTTATACCTCCAGGTCCATGAAGACCTTTATCAGTTAAAGGAGAAATTAACAAATTTCCCTCTTGAGGAAAAAGGAGAGGCTCTAAACATTCAGAACCTTGAAACTGCAATCAAAAGGACTGAAATGGGGCTAAGAGTAAGTAGAGCTTTAGATATTAAATAAAGTGCTGGAAGGAAACAAAGATTCCTCTAGTAGGAAAGGACTGTGGTTCTCACCTTGCGTAATTCTGTAACAGAGTGACAACTTAAGTTGGTCATCAGCTTGCTCATTCTGGTCCTTTTATTAAAATCATGATTATTAACTGATTGGTTGGTTTGCATCTTGTCACATCCCACAAAGTATGTAAGCTGTTGGGAATGTAAGATTATGCAGTGACAACCCCTAACATGTGGTTTGATTAAAGAATTAAGAATTCTTAAAATAACCATTCATCCAGAAATATGCCCAACAAAAAAGGATTCAAAGGAATACTCCAGAGAGTTTCTATCAGATTCACTGGGATTCTAAAGAATAAGAGTTTGTTTTTCCCTAAATAGCTTACGTATCTTGAGACTAGTCATTTTTGTGATATTGTAATCCTGCAGGTAGAGCTAAAGAGATGTACCAATTTTGGAAAAGAGAAATAAATTACACGGGAACTTCATCATTAAGATGGGTTGAAGGGAAGAGGAGAATCCACTCTTCAGGATAATATTCACTTACAAAACAAGTATCTGGGGGTGCTGGATGGCTCAGTCAGCTAAATGTCTGACCCTTGATTTCTGCTCAGGTCACCATCTCAGGCTCTGTGCTCAATGGGGCATCTGCTTGTTATTCTTTCTCTCATCCCTCTGCCCCTCCTCCTTGCGCTCTTGCACTTTCTCCATCTCTCTCTCTCTCAAATAAACCTCTAAAAAAAAGAAAAAGAAAAAAAGAAAGAAACAACAAGGATATATGATCACATGAGTCCAAATAAGGACCATCTCCATCTTCGAGACCTCTAACTGTCATTGTTCCTGCTCCAGCCTGAGACTTTCACTCTCCCATGTTACAGCTCCACAGCCCAGCTCCTCAGGCTGTGAGAGATATGGTGTGTTCTGTTGCCTCATCAAACTGGCACACCATTGTCCTACATTACCTGACAGTGAGAGGGCTGCACCCAGCTGGAGTCTTGCAGTTGGCCACTTTAAATAATCTGTTACCTAAGGCCCAAATTCTTTCCCTGGATGCTTGCTTGAAATCCCTATAAATGAAAGACATTACTCCATGTCTGTCCTGCCTAGTAAGCTTACCTGGCTAAGCGATTTACTGACTGTTGTGCATAGTTTAATTTGTGAAAAGTGCTACAGGTCACTTGAGCTTTGCGTCTCAATTGTTTATTATGCTTTTTGGGATAGTGAAAGTCATTTAGCCTCGAAATGCCCAACAATACCTTAGGCATGTAATAAACACATAGTATGTTGTGTCTTTTGGCTTAATTACACAATTCAAAGCATTACCCTAATGAAATAAAGTAAATTAGCTGAGTATCTTAAGTCCACTATAATAACCTAAACTTTAACTTTCCTGTAACAGATTCACATTGAGAAGTATTTAAATGTTGTAAACCATCATGTGTTAACAACTCCTGTTAATGACGATAATTTATATTCTCCTCACACTTCCAGCTGGTAAGTAAAATAGCCATTTTGGGGTTGAAAACAAATATGATAAAAAAAATAACTTTTCCCACTCAGGTCAGGCGACCATAAAGTCAAAATCTCCTTGGCTTTGTTCATATCCATTCTACTAATTTCAGTAGTTTTGTATAAGAAGTTAATGGCAAAATTTGAACTTTAACGAAGTTCATTCAGGGTTACTCTTCTTGTCTTCTAATGCTTGACACCATGACAATTACTTCACGGTCCTAGTTTTGGTGTTACTGCTTTTTGTTTGTTTGTTTGTTTTAGTAAAAGGTATCCAAAATTCAACTCCTCTAAAGGAAATATTTTAATGCAAATCCATTTTTACTCTATGAAGCTTACATGGAAATTTCTTTACAGTTTTTAGCACGTCACATGTGCTTTATTGTAGAGCACAATTTTTTTTTAATTTTGGTATCCAGGATGAACAAAAATAATAAAACTTGCTTGAAATATTCACAATATAATATATCCTAAGAGTTGATTTATTAAAATTAGACTTGAGTGAGAAAGAAATTGCCTGCCTCACTTTGGACCCTCTTACAGGTAGGCCTCCTGAATTTGAGTGTATGTAAAGTAAGGTTTTGTGCTAAGCTTAAAAACCCTGTGGCCCTACTTGCATTGTAAATATATACCAAGCATAAGTAAGTAGTATCAGATTGTAAGGTCAAGTTTCAGAAATAGTGCACAAGGAAACACAGCAATCTATAGACATAACCAGGATCCAGCATTCTGTAGTGAGGAGCAGAGCCTTGGGGGGTATCTGTCTCCCTTGCCCCCACATGAAGAAGGAACACCACAGGCATCCATCATCCCTTGTAGAGGCATCCCTTCCCTCAGTTGTCTAGTTTTTTCATTTAAGTCTTTGATTTTTACATTTGGGAATTTAAAAAAAATGACCTGAAAACAGGTTAATGTTCATAATCTTTTAAAACAAGGAATCTGTAAGGAAAATAATAAAAAGGGGATTCTTGGAGAAGAAAATATTGGAGGTCAGTTTGCCAACTTATACTGATGGACTCAGTTTGAAATCAAGGGAAGCCTATAGGCAAAGTGTGAAGCCTTTGTAGACTGCAGCGGACAGATCTGCAGTAGGCTGTGGCCAAAGACGGAGCATTAAAGCAGCAAGTAGGAAAGCCTCAGAATGGGGGGGTTGGGGAAAGCAAACAGGAAAAAAGATGTCTATCCCCAACTCTGATGAAGTTCTCTTGTCCTATCTCTAGCTTTCTCTTTATTCTTCTATCCTGACAAAGAATAGAGGGTCTGGGCCATCCATTTGCAAATTAGGATGGCTGAAGAAGAGCAAACCCCGAAGCAATTACAGCCACAGAGAACCAAGCAGAAAGGTTCTGGAAGAGGTCTTTCTTGTACAATTCTTATCCTTTGTTGAGGAGTGTCCTTGCCCACTTAGGACGTGGAAGCGTAAAGGAAGACTTCATCATCAATTGGGGCATGGAGCTGGCTCCCAGAGCAGTCCTTGGATCCTTTCTCTCCTATTCAATAGAATAATAATTGCTGGCCCTCCTGGCAGGAAGATGGGAGCCTGGCAAGTCTGCAAGAGCCTCACACGCCTGGGGGACTGTCTCCATCAGAGCTGTGGATGTGTAGTGCTAACGTTGCATGAATTTGAAAATGACATGATAGGAGCCAGGTTGAAAACTGGAGAGAAGTCTAAACTGGGTCTTTATATTTTTTTTTAAAGATTATTTATTTATTTATTTATTTATTTATTTATTTATTTATTTATTTATTTTTAATGACAGAGAGAGAGAGAGGCAGAGGCACAGGCAGAGGGAGAAGCAGGCTCCATGCAGGGCTCCCGATGCAGGACTTGATCCCAGGACACCAGGATCACACCCTGAGCCAAAAGCAGACATTCAACCATTGAGCTGCTATGGTGCCCCTAACTGAGCCTTTAAAGTAAGCAGGCCTGAGGTCCTGTGAGTCCAAGTGTGAGTCACAGGCAGTGGCTCAGGGAAGAAGAGAAGCAGTTGATGGAAATGGAAAACAGGAGACCCAGGACCTTGGGAACCGTTGCCTGTGACTGGTATATTCCTGGGTGGTTAGTCACACGGGACTCTGCACTTGCAGGGGTGTCCCAAGAGACTGGTCATGAATGGACTTGCCTTCGGAGTCTGTGTCCCATGGGGAGTTTTCTATGCAAAGCTGTTTACAGAGCCCAGAATTCTTTTAGGTTCTTTTGCCTGGGGGCAGCAGGACTGACCAATTCATTGCATTTTTCTTCTGAGGTTCCATGACAGTCTTTCTAATACTCAAGTAAGAAGGTGGTTTTTCTTTATTGATGGCATGACTCACTAACAGACAAGTTGCTTATCTCAACACTGATCTGGAGGCCAAAGGAGGAGACCTAGCTTATCAAAATTTTGAGTTGGAACAAGCTGGACCTGGACTTTTATCCCACATGGCCTTTAGTTTGAAAATTGGGACATGGATCCATAATATGTATTTATTTATAAATTATATATTTACTCTAGGGAATGAATACATTATAAAATATACCAACAAAGAAACATTTAAATAACGAGACCAATATTAAACAGCTTAAAAATCTTTCTTTGCTAAATCACAAAGCTTTCTTTTGCTAAAAAAAAGGTTATCATATTTATTATATAATATCGTAATATATATTAATCATAATATCATAATCATAATATTCTGGCTGCTTTATCTTCTTCATCATGATGGCTTTATACTGGCTGTGGTCAATAGCCCAAAATACACTCTACACTTAGTGGAGATTCAGCCTAGATGTTGATTGAATGGAAGTCCAATTAGTCTACTGGATAATTTTCAAGTTTGCAGTTGGGGGTGGAGATTTGGTGGACTCTTCATAAGTTTGATGGGTTTATCATTTTTTGGTCCCTAGTGTGGCTAAAGAAAAGCTCATGATATGAGTAGGTGTCCATTCTGGCATTTTCTTATTTTTCCCTGATGCCCATTTTCATCATCTTCAAAATTCATTGTGTGTGTGTGTGGTTTTTATTTTGTTTTTTTGCAGGAATCTTTTTAAGACAACTGTCTATTGTTTCAGGCTTGAGTGAAAACTAAATGATAGAATCCATAAACCCACTCACCGAGTGGGTTTTTTTTTTCTGGACAATGCTGTAAAGAAAAAAACATGTACTAGTAAAGACCCCACTGTTCATGCTTTTGTGGTTTGGAGTCTCCACTCCCAGGAGGCCTCCAGAACCTCAGGTGATATGACGCCATGAGAAATCCAGGGACAAGCTGAACATTAAATAGTAGCCCAGAGAATTTCTTAATTTCTGACTTGACATATTTCTTAGTTGGTATAAATAGAAGTTCTTATGCTCTTATATTATACAACCAATGGCATTATCTTATGGAGATGTGGGCATCCTATTTGAGAGACCATGGGTTCTAGAATGATAGTTCTTAAACTTTGGGTTGCAATCCTCTTTCATTGCCTTGCAGGTGGTCCTGGAATTTGCATTTTAACAAACAGTCTTGCTATTCCTTTTTTTTTTTTTTTTTGCTATTCCTTTTATTAAAAAATAATACATTTAATTTATTGGTGTTCAATTTGCCAACATACAGAATAACACCCAGTGCTCATCCCGTCAAATGCCCCCCTCAGTGCCCGTCACCCATTCACCCCCACCCCCCTCTCTCCTCCCCTTCCACCACCCCTAGTTTGTTTCCCAGAGTTAGGAGTCTTTATGTTCTGCCTCCCTTTCTGATATTTCCTACCCATTTCTTCTCCCTTCCCTTCTATTCCCTTTTCACTATTATTTATATTCCCCAAATGAATGAGAACATATAATGTTTGTCCTTCTCCGATTGACTTATTTCACTCAGCATCATACCCTCCAGGTCCATCCACGTTGAAGCAAATGGTGGGTATTTGTCATTTCTAATGGCTGAGTAATATTCCATTGTATACATAGACCACTTCTTTATCCATTCATCTTTCCATGGACACCAAGGCTCCTTCCACAGTTTGCCTATTGTGGACATTGCTGCTATAAACATTGGGGTGCAGGTGTCCCGGCGTTTCATTGCATCTGTATCTTTGGGGTAAATCCCCAACAGTGCAACTGCTGGGTCGTAGGGCAGGTCTATTTTTAACTCAAAGCTGTGGTCATCAAGACAGTGTGGTACTGGCATAAAAACAGACACATAGATCAATGGAACAGAATAGAGAATCCAGAAGTGGACCCTCAACTTTATGGTCAACTAATATTCGATAAAGGAGGAAAGACTATCCACTGGAAGAAAGACAGTCTCTTCAATAAATGGTGCTGGGAAAATTGGACATCCACATGCAGAAGAATGAAACTAGACCACTCTCTTGCACCATACACAAAGATAAACTCAAAATGGATGAAAGACCTAAATGTGAGACAAGATTCCATCAAAATCCTAGAGGAGAACACAGGCAACACCCTTTTTGAACTTGGCCACAGTAACTTCTTGCAAGATACATCCAGGAAGGCAAAAGAAACAAAAGCAAAAATGAACTATTGGGACTTCATCAAGATAAGAAGCTTTTGCACAGCAAAGGATACAGTCAACAAAACTCAAAGACAACCTACAGAATGGGAGAAGATATTTGCAAATGACATATCAGATAAAGGGCTAGTTTCCAAGATCTATAAAGAACTTCTTAAACTCAACACCAAAGAAACAAACAATCCAGTCATGAAATGGGCAAAAGACATGAACAGAAATCTCACAGAGGAAGACATAGACATGGCCAACACGCACATGAGAAAATGCTCTGCATCACTTGCCATCAGGGAAATACAAATCAAAACCACAATGAGATACCACCTCACACCAGTGAGAATGGGGAAAATTAACAAGGCAGGAAACCACAAATGTTGGAGAGGATGCGGAGAAAAGGGAACCCTCTTACACTGTTGGTGGGAATGTGAAATGGTACAGCCACTCTGGAAAACTGTGTGGAGGTCCCTCAAACAGTCTTGCTATTCCTAATGCAGATA